TAGAGGTGATTTCACAGGTAGGTAGGAATCCTCAAATTGTGATGATTCTACTGGGAGTGGTGACTGTGCAGGTAGCGATTCCACTGGTGTCGGTGATTCCACTGGTAATATTACCTCATCAGGTTTCGGTGATACTACAGGTAATGGGGATTGTGCGACAAATTCGCTATCTTGTGGCATGTTGTGTAGAAGAACATCAGGTTCACGAGGCTCGTCTAAGTCTTGAGGTACGGGTGATTCATTTGGTAATGGCGACTTAGAAACCATAACATCTTGCAATTCTTTGCACTCTAACTCTGCATCAAACTCATTATCCAGTGGGTCCTGTATGTTGTTGCTATCTATTAAATAATCCTTACTGTCTTCAATATCATCTGTTTCTTTAGTAACTTCTATCTGAATATTTTGTGCTGTCTCATTAACAATCAACTGTGTTATCGCCTCTGTTTGATCAATAACTTCTTGTGAAGGAGATGTTGATTCTACTAATGACTCCGACTGATCAACAGGTAGTAAGTCACTCTCGAATTCAACATCCTTTTCAATATTACTATCTACATTAAGCTCAATTTCAACAGAGGGAACACTATCCTTTATTTCTGTCGCAAAAACTTCATGCTGTTCACATTCATTCACATTTTCAACAGGAGTAGCTTGTTCTGTATCACTTGGTACTTGGTGCATGATCGCCTCCGTCTGATCTATAACTGCTTGTGAAGAGAAGACTGGATCTTCAACTGATGCAGGACGATTTACATCACTTGCAATATCTGATGATCCATGTCCATCATCTTCTGAATGAGGATCACTTTCGAATTGTATGTCTTTTTCCCTTTCTGAATCCTCTTTTATATCAGTCTCAATAAAATCAGTCTCCTCATCAGCAATTGGTGATTCATCAAATTTATTTTCGACCTCGATATCTTGAGACACTTCGTCTTCTGGTGTGATGACTCTGACATCCTTTTCGCTTTCCGATCTGTCTTGTACGTCATCATTTGTGAACCCTAGCTCTGAACTCTTACCATCAGGTATTTCAGGAATTTGTTCAAATAATAACTTGTGAGATTCAGGGGTATCAGTCTGCAATACATCTTGTGGAATGTTACTGCATTCAAATTCAACATTAGAATATGATTGCATGTTGTTTGAATTGTTAATATTATAATCAATAAAATTATCCAAATTTGTTACATTGCTGATCAAATTTTCTGTCCGATCATCAAACCTTAGAATGTCATTGTTTGGTTCTTGAATGTTTTCTGTTTCCAGTAAAACAGCATTACCATCGGGCGAAACATTTTCTTTATCATTTTCGACCACATTGAAAGCACCATTGGGTTCAATATCTTCATCATCACTATCAGGTAAAGGTTGAACAGCATTCAGATCTATATGACCTTCTATTTTTGTAAACCTTTCACATGTATCATCATCTTTTTCCTGATAGAAGCTCATACTCATGGGATCTCTTTCTTTATTCTTAAGTCTCTCAAATAGTTCATCATCTCTGTCGTCGAATGGATTTGTTTCAGTCTGTGCTTGGAGTACCTACAAGGAAATGTCAATGAATTTAATTTCCAAAATTTACATCTACACAGTACAAAGGAACTTATTAATAAAAGCAGCATTTTAACATACCTGTATATCACAATATTCTGTAGTATCTTTCTGTATTCTTTCAAATTCCTGTATGAGGTTAATATCCTTGATCTTATCAGAGTCAACATTGAAACCAAATCCTAAGCTTTCCATATCACATTTACCATTACCATTAACTTGTTCCGATGCACCATCTATTGAAACATTCTGAAACAAACAAAACATCTTCTTATTGCAACATTTTAATAAATAAAAATTGTTCTCAAAAGAATTGCTGAAATCAAAGGTAAGGTAACTATCACAATATATAACAGGAAAAAATACTCTTTCACTTGTTTTAGTGAATAAAATTGAACAGTTAAAAGTTTCTAGTTTTTGCAAGTACTAACAAAATATGCATCTCTTTTAATATAAAAACAAAGAATTTTGAATTTGCCTACCCTTGTTTACAGTTTCTTTTGCATTATACAATATAGTAGAATATTATCT